GGCTCCATCTTGGAGATCTCCAGCATGAGCGTGCTCTCTATCTGGGCGGGCTGGTTTTCTGTCTTGGGCTTCCTCAAGCTCTTCTCTCTACTCTCCCGCGACCGCTTTGAATACGTACGTCGCCTGGCCTGTCTGGGGTTCTTCTGCTCTTACACTCCCTCTCCACCTCAATGCCCGTCTTTCTCACCAAACACACGTTTCTTCTTCTTCTTGTTGCTGCATGCAGCTGGTCACCTACAAGCCCAGCACGCCGCTGGCAGTGCACGGCCGCATCTTTGCGTTGCTCGTGAGCATATTGCTCATCGATGCCCTCTGGTTCGCCGCCAGTGTGAGCATCTTCGGACCTGCCGGCACTTCCGTCGTGCTGCTCATGACGTTTGAGGTACGACTTACCTCGAAAGAGGTGAGCACCGCACGGAACGCAAGCTCACCAATGATCGTGGAACGCATTCGTCTTGTGCGTGCGTGCATGCGTGCGTGCGTGCGTGCACACAGTGCCTCACGCTCTTCCTGAGCACGGTGCAAACGGTGATCAAGTACGTGGTGCACCTGATCGACCTGGTCAGAAAGGACGAGTTCTGGGAGCTGCGCGGGTCCTACACCTTCTACGCCGAGTTCCTCACCGAATCGCTGATTCTCGTGGCCACCATCGGCCACTACATCCACATCCTCTACCTCCACGGCCTGTCGTTCACCCTCATCCACGTCGTGCTCTTCCTGCACATGCGTCTGGCCTTCCAGGTATAGTACCGCGCCCCCGCCCCACCACCCGCCGCTTCCGACTTCGGCAATTGATTTATTTTAATTTTTAATTTATTTTTTGACCGATTCAGGGACTGCGGATCAAGATCGCGGCCTGGTCGCGCTACAGACAGATGAACGCCGACCTAAACACTCGCTATCCTAGCGTCAGCGCCGACGAGCTGGCGCAGTACAACGACTCCTGTGCCATCTGCCTGACCCACCTATCTGCGTCGGCTAAGAAGCTTCCCTGCGGTCACATCTTTCACACGTACGCCGCCGCCAGAGATTGCCCACCTTGCAGAGCTCGAGCTGACAGCTGTGCTTGTTCGTGTGGGACACACACACACACACACAGTGTTTGCCTACGATCGTGGCTGGAGCGAAACCACTCGTGCCCTACGTGCAGACAGCCGCTGGGCACGCCGCCCGCCGCCACTGCCGCCGCCCGCGACCACCAGCCCGGGTCTGGGTCGGAATACCTCATGGGGCAGTTTCACCACGGCGACGTCGTTGCCGGCGACGAGGAACACGACGACGGGGCAGCTGCCCCGCACCACCCCACTACGCCGCACACAGCGCCGCAGACCCAGGCGGCACAGTTTCAGCTCAACACTGCCGCGGGCGGTCTCTTTGATTGGCTGCCCGGCTTTCGGGTGCAGGTCGTGCGCCGCCCGCGAGTGCCGTTGATGGCCACCGCCCCCGAGGAGTGGGTATGTTCATCGACATGTCACACCGCTCGACGCCACAACTCACTATGTGTTGTTGTATGCCACCTGCAGGTGCGAGCGGTGCAGGAGATCTTTCCTCACGTCCCGTCAGAGTCGATCGCCGCCGACCTACGATACACGCGCTCCGTCGATGCCACGATCGACAACGTCCTCCACAACCGCGTTCCTCTCTCCCGGCCGACGCACCAGGCATCACCGCCGCCGCCCGAATCCCCGGCCTCTGCCGAGCCGAATCTGCCAACCACCACTACCACCCCGTCAGCGCCATCAGCGCCATCATCGCCCTCACTGTCATCGCTGTCGCCAGCGGCCGGCGCAAGCAGGGAGGTGGACCAAACCGATGACACAGACGAGGTCTCCTCCACGCGCCGTCGTGACGCCTTCACACAGAGTACACACGAGTGAAGCCCCCACGCGGACCGGTT